TTTCATGACCCAACTAGGTAACCTCATCAGTGCTGGAAGGGAGTGGGGGTTTGAGGAGAAGAGCAGGAGGACTGTAGGCTCCTCGCTGCCCTCTGAGCCGCCGTGTTTTCTCGCAGACGTTTCCTGACCCCCCAAACCAGGTAGCCTCATCAGTGCTGGTCCTCATTTCAACCCTGAGCTCCAGATATTTCTCCTCTATGGGTATTTCCTGGGGTGTTCCTGCCTGGGCCACGATCCCGAATCCAAGTCCCCACGTCCCCCCCAGCATCCGTTTCCCCCACAAACCCCTCGCTTCCCCCATCCAGAAGATTAGGAAGAGCCCCTCCCTCCTCGCTCTCTAAGTCAGGAAAAGTGCCAGCGGTGCACCCATATCTGGTGACTTCCAGCTTCCCTTCTCCGCCTGCCACTCACGCTCGCTCGGTGAAGAAACTTCCTCTGGCAGTTGTCTTTATTCAACCTTGGGGAGGGACGGAGCCGTGTCAGATAACTTGCTCGTCCAGATCTATCCGGAGGTTCTGCCATTCAGGGCAAAGGTCATGCAACAGGAGGATTCTGGGACTTGAAGTCCCAGCCCATTGACCCAAACGTCTGGGTGGGAAAGCTCTGCATTAGCTGGTCAGTTGCGGCCATTAAGCCAGGCCAAACTCTCATTCCCGGTGCTGAGTCTTGAGAAATAAATCACAGGCAGTCTTTTAACTTACAACAATTCGTTTAGGGACCATTTTTTTTCCTCACACTTAAGACCACTGCGGCAGCGTCCCCACAGTCCCATGATCAAAATCACTTGGCGTCTGGTTCCTCTTTACGACGGTTGCAAATGTCATTGTATCATCTAATAAATCCCTTTTGACAAGCGAAATCAAGGGGGAGGCCAGATTCGCTTAACAACCACGTTACCCACTGGACAACTGCAGTGATACGTTTAACAACGGTGGCGTGAAAGGGGGGGAGAAACTCCCTTAGCCACTGTCTCACTGAGCAGCAGAAATTTTAGGCTCAATTGTGGTCATAAGTCGAGGACTACCTGGATGTTAAGTTTCTCACCCCCACCCCAAGAGATTAAGAAAGACATTTAAAGTTCCTGCCCGCTTTGACTTCTGTGTGTGCGTTTTTTTCCTCCCCAGTGATTACCTGTTCAAGTTGCTTCTAATCGGAGATTCCGGTGTAGGGAAATCTTGCCTCTTGCTACGGTTCGCTGTGAGTATCTACGATTTCCCCCGAAAAACGTCTATTTTTCTTGCCCTTCTGTTGCAAAGCGGGCCTTCAGAGCCGCTGCTAATTTAGGAGCATTTAGACGGGGGAAGGTGAGACCAAGAAAAATAAAATCCATTAAAACAAAAACCCAAGAATTCTGCTTCTGGAATTCCTTATCTGCCCCACCTTCCAATCTTAAATCTTCCCTTTGTTTGTGGGGTGGGAAAAAGGGATTTATTTATTTTTTTCATGAAATTCCTTTAGCTGTTGGCCACGGATTAGATTCCTCCCGAATTCCACTTCCAAGGGAGATGCATCGATTTGAAACTCCACGAGTTTTATCTTTTGCAATTGTTTGGGGAGGTTTGACAGGGTCGAACTAATTAACCAGGATCAAGGCTAGGACTGACAGAAATGAATCGTTTTCTCTGTGGTGACATCATATTTTTTTTCCCCCCTTCCCGCCGTTCTCCATGCTAGGATGACACTTACACAGAAAGCTACATTAGCACCATCGGGGTAGATTTCAAAATCCGGACCATCGAGCTGGACGGCAAAACCATTAAACTGCAGATTGTAAGTTTTGGGGCAGCTATCCCTGGAGGGGGGGGTGGCCACCTCTGCCTGGGGTTTGGTTTTGGTTTCCAGATGTGAAGCCAGAGGGAGTCTCCAATTAAAAATCGAAAATTCCTGTTTTTCTGAACCACTCACTAAATCTTTGGATGTAGCTTTTAGATGCAGCATGCTGGCTGGGGGATTCTGGGAGTTGAAGTCCAACCGCCTTAAAGTATGCTAGCTGGGGAATTCTGGGAGTTAAAGTCCACTCTTCTAAAAATATGCTAGCTGGGGAATTCTGGGAGTTGAAGTCCAACCGCCTTAAAGCATGCTGGCTGGAGGATTCTGGGAGTTGAAGTCCACCCATCTTAAAATTGCCACGTTTAAAAATACTGGCCTAGATCCCTCCAGAGCGCATCTAATTGATTAAAAAAAAATTGTAGCCCCCTTTGAGAAGGAGCTATGTTTTGTCCCACCCAGTTTTTAATCCAATTCTGTTCCTTGTTTTTACTTCTTTCTGCCTTATTTTTTTAAAATTTGTGAGCCACCCAGAGTCCCTGAGAGTCAGGCAGCCATGTATCCACCATGTTCTTGTGATGGGATGTAGTGAGGAGGGGGATTCTCCAGGAAGGAGGGGATGAAATCCCAGAAAAGTAAGAGGCAACTCAGCCTGGATATTATGTGTGAGAGAAAGAGGGTGAAGTCAGCCTCTTCCTAATAGCCCCCCGAGTGTATCGTAGAGGCAGGATAAACCTTTCGCCCCACGGACCGATTCCAGTTGGATCCTGCAGATAGTAAGAGTTCATAATCCAGCCCGATTTGGTCCCTGGGTGTGAAACAATAAAGAACTCAACGTGTCTTCAGTCTTGGGTTTGGGCCTGAGGTTCTGTCCAATGAGGGGGGGGCTGAACTTCTCTTTCTGCTTTCTCCAGTGGGACACAGCTGGGCAGGAACGGTTCCGGACCATCACGTCCAGCTACTACCGAGGGGCCCACGGCATCATCGTGGTCTACGACGTAACGGATCAGGTAGAGTGGCCCTCGGGTGGCGGCCGGGCAAGCACCCACCGAGGCTTATAGCCCCCCTGGGGCATGACGCAAAGATCGGAGCAGAGACAGACAAACGTCACGGCCACCTCATTTCCCTGCCTTTGTGCAACGCTTGTTTTATTCGTTCGTTCATTTCCTTAGGAGTTAAATTCATTGGAATCCCAGAATCCCCAAATAATTAAATAATGATGACGGGGAAGGAAAAAGAGGCCATCCCACCAGCTGAAAGGCCATTGCTGTTAGTTTGAAGCCCTTGCCTTCGCAAACAGCTGCAGAAAAGCTGGATATGAAAGCCAGAACATTCGGTATCCAGGGGTATTTTTTAAGCATATTTTTTTTACCCCTGAGAAAAAGACACTCTTCTTTGGAATAGCAAAACATTTGGGATTCTGGGAGTTGAAGTCCTCCAAGGTGGGATTCTGGGAGTTG